TCAGTTGGCCTCTTTTACAACTGACTGATATCACAATAAATGTTACCCTAAATTTGGTTAATTAAGATTTACCACACTAATATTATTTATATCTCTCAACAGCAACGTAGAATTTCTTACATACGTACATCAGTTCAAGTTGTCATACCACATTAGCACATAGATGCAATTGTTAATTCAAATCCCATAGTTGTAGAGGTAGTAAAAGTATTAGCAGTAATCGGAGAGATTAGGGTTTAAGGATATTATTCAAGAAGTAATGATCAAGTGAGATAACGTTAAGAAAGTCGAAACTAGAGGTGTTGAAGAATCAGAAGCTTACGATTTGAGAGAACACAAAGGGTGAATTCACCTACGCCATTACCAACAGCTTTGAGCTATGTCATTCAGGGTCTCTAACCATCTCGTGGACCCCAACCAGGTAGTCGACACCTACTGACATGGCTCAGTGACTTCATGGGTTTCTGCCATGCTTTGGTCTGACTGCCCCTACCTTTCTTTCAACCTACTCTTACACCACAAAACATCGTTCGATGAGTCAGTCGGTGGTTAGGCATACGTAACACATGTCCCAACCGCCTCAATTGATGGAGCTTCACTACTACATGTATTAACGTGCCGTCCATACCTAGTACTCGTTTCTTAACGACAGCATTGCTTACTCGGAAGTCCCACGATACACGAGCCATGCTTCGAAGACACCTATAATCGAAAACCAGTAACCTACGAATATCTACTCTCACTGGCCATGTTTCGCAGTCATAATGTAAGACGAAGCGAACTACTCCGCAGTACACTCGTCCTTTAGTCAGCAAATGGATGTCTCGCCTACTCCATAAGTGACGTAGGTTGGCAAAAGCCAATCGAGCTTTCTGTATCCGTGCTGAGGTTTCGTCACACCAGGGCATCACACTGATGAGACTCCTGAGATAAGTGAAGCGGTCTACACGTTCGACCGCTTCACTCCCTATCACTAGTTCAGGTGCCGATGCAAGCCAATCCTGAAGCAACCTTTCGCATTTTGAGGGGAAAAACCGCATCCCGAACATGCTTGCATTGTTGCTTAGGGTAATCAGTAGACTGCATTTTGTTAGCGTCTTCACCAAGTAGAACTTTTTCATCGGCATATTCTTAGTCAACCAATGAATCTCCTGCTAGGTCTACTGAAAATTCAGACGAAGATAATGTTATTTCTAGGAGCATGTCTATAACAAAATTATACAAGAACAGAGAAAGTGGACATCCTTGACGGATACCACTTGAAATAAAGAATTTCGATGACAGTTCGCCATAAGCTCTCACTCAACCGGTATCGTTCGAGTAGAGAGCTTGTATAAGGCAAATGCACTTCTGTGGTACACCTTTCAATGACAGATACTGCCACAGAACCTCACGATCCACAGAGTCGAATGCCGCTTTAAGGTCCACGAAGACGGCTTTAGTAGTATGCCTAAATGTGTATCTGTGTTCCAGGACCTGTTGTAGAGTGAAAATGTGGTCTATACAGCCACGTCCCGGTCGAAAACCAGTCCTGGTTTTCCCTAGTCTGCTCTTCACGAGCTCTAGTTAGGCGTTTAAGTTTAATCGAGGCTAACAATTTAGAAATTATATTAGTTAGACTTTTTCCCCTGTGATTGCCACGAGAAGACTTTTGTCCTTTCATATAGATTGGGACAATCAAGTATTGAGACGAGTCAGATGAGATTACTTCCAGTTCCCAAATTCTACCTAAGATCTCAGTCAATGTAAGTGCTAAGAGTGCACCACCATCCCTAAGAATCTCAGACGTCAATCTATCAGGACCCGCTGCTTGTCCGTCGTTTTAGATTTCCTATAGGTATCCAAGCTTCATAGTCGGACGACTTACGTCGATTTGTCATCCAGGTTGACTGAAGATCGTAGGCAACCGAATTGTGGCTGAAGGCCAGTTGAACTGATCCCTAAAGTACTATGCCCATTGATCTAATCTCCTGAGATGACAATGCATAATAAGATCATTCTTTTTCCGAGATAGTCGGATTTCCAACACCGGTTTCTTTGATAAGTGTGAATAGTTGTCTTCTGTTGTCTATCGCAACTGTCTTTTCAATCTTTCTCGCTTTCGTTACCCACTACTGTTTGCGATCATTGTGTAGGCTTTTTATCAGCCTGTGCCTAAGCTGACTCTTCTCCTCATCAGGCTCAAAGCCAGATAAGATGAGTTTTCGATCATCCATCAGTTTGGTAGATGCTACTGAGATCCACAGCTTCTTCCTAACTTTATGGTTCACCTCACTAGAAGATATCATTGCTGTTTCTGCAGCTTTTTGGATCCCATTCCAAGCTGCCTCAGGTTGAGCATTACTTACTACATGTCTGTCTAACTGTTTTCCTATTTGTTCCTGAAGTTTATTCTTTGCTTTGTTATCATTAAATAAAACCCTGAGAGGTTTCTTCGCGGTATCTCTCCTACGTCCAGTAAGCCTCAAACAAATACGCGCTAGCAGTAGAGCATGTTCTGAATGTAAACAAGTGCTTCAGAATTAGCGACAGTCTTCAATAGAGCCTCTTCACCGATGGCTTATAGCGATGTTGATGTAGTTGGGTCCATCATTGAATCGGCTTTGGGAGTTGCCAGGTCAAGAGATGTTTTTCCTTATGCTTACAGTTAGTGTTTGCAAGAAATAGGCCGTTATCTGATCATAGCCGCGACACCATAAGACCCACCCGGGTGTCTTTCCTTTTCACTCAGTCGACCCATTTGAGCATTAAAGTCACCAGCCATTATTACTATATTAGTGTTTAACTTTTTGGAGCAGGTTAGAAAGGTTTCTGTAAAACTCAGATTTTATCTCGTCTGAACTCAGTCAGTGGAAGCATAGGCAGAGACAACAAAGAGGCAACGGCGAGTTTCCCTATCTTTACGAGTCCTTACTGTCCCGTTCAGTTGGACAGCTCACAACCGGCTATCTAGTGGGATCCAGTCTAGGAGCTGGTTCTGCCCTAGGATTTAATACTATACCTACACCAGCGAGGCCACGGAAGCAGCAGCAGGGCTTCCAGGTACGCGAAGAGTAGATCGAGCTACTTTATTTTGAATGACTCTACTCAGATACTGTATGCGCGTTTCCGAGACGCAGCATACATCAATGGCGCGAGATTCGAAGGTCCTAGCTAAGGAAACCTGTTGCCCTATTCGACACAATGTCCGGACATGTAGTTTAGAACGGGGTTTCGGGAGACTCGGAATAACGTTTCGCGGACTGAAATCCTTTGCGTTAGTGATGCAGGGTGATATAGGAATGTGAGAAGGGTTAGTTGTAGAGAAAAGAGAAATGTTAGGGGGTGTAAGAAGGATTTGTTTGCGATCAATTTGGTCTCATGTTTTGTTACGGGTATGAGGGTGGATGTCACTTCCCGGCCGCCCACACCGTGGAAGGGTGTTTCCTGAGGAACTTGAAAAGGAAGACAGATTATTGTTGATCTTAGAGACCTGGGAGCGTGACCGCAGTGCCCGAGGGACAACTACTTCAGGCCGGTCACGCACGGCATTTTTACGGGAAGTTTTTGAAGTGTTAGCTCTCCTCTTAAAAGGCCTTACCATCAAAGACGGAAATTCCTAAGGTAAGGTGAGGTGTGACAATTTTAGGGTCGACCATTTGTAACCCCTTCCTTCCTTGTCAAAAATTAGCATCGCTGCAGAAGCTAGTTGTCCGAGGGAAACACCTCACTGCCGTCAGCAGTACGACTTCGCTCTCAGACCTTGAGTAGCTGCTTTTCATCAAATCGTTCTCCAATCGATACAAAGTTTTGGTTGTTGTTGACTTCCTGACACCGTGACATCTAATACTCCGAAGTGAACTGAGCCATGTTAGTAGGTGTCGACTACCTGGTGGGGTCTGTGAAACAATCGTAACCGATAGTTCGAGACTTTGAATGACATGGCTCAAAATCGTTTGCAATGGCGCTGGTGCATCCATTCTTTGTGTTCTCCCAAATTCTCATCTAAAATCCTCTTGACCTCATCTTTCTGTTCTCAAATGTATTTCTCCGGATTATACTCCTTAAATAACATCTTTAAATGTTTATCTTTCCGATTCTCGAATCATATCTTTGCCCCCTAATCTTCTCCATTACTGCTAATACTTCTACTATCGCTATCACTCTTGGATTTAAACTGACAGTTGCGCCTCTGTGCTGATGTGGTATGGCAACCTGAATTGATGTACTTGCGTACGAGGTTCTGAGTTGTATCTGTCTGTCTGTCTGTCTGTCTGTCCGATTACTGCTCATACTCGTGCTACATCTTGCGCTATGGGATTTGAATTGCCAATTGCATCTTTGTGCTAATTTTGTATGGCAACTTGAGTTGATGTTTGACGCACGAAGTTCTACGTTGTAACTGACTGACTGTATCCTGAAGAAAGGCCGTAATAAACTTCTGTGATGCCGTTCGCCCCATTTTCCAGTACTTCTTTAGTTTCAGCATCATTTTCGCCACTGCCAAGTGGTGATCAGAAGTTATGTCGGTTCCTCTCTTGGTTCTTACGCCATCTATCGTCCTTCTGGACATTTTATTAATACAAATATGGTCGATTTGGTTCTGCGTAGTGTGAACCGGCGAAATCCATGTAACTTTTTGTATGCATTTGTGTGGAAATATTGTGTCGCCTAAGACTATGACTGATGTAGGTATGTACGAAGTTCTACGTTGTTGCTAACTGGCTGACTGACATAATACTGAATCAAACCTAGTGTGTCAGCAAAATCTTAAATCAGTTTTATCCGAAGTTGGCAGGTTTTTCTTCAAAAAAACAAAAATATAGGTAAAATGTAATATTCAGATTTTATACACCAGCAGTTTCATGCTGGTATATCGGCTGTAGATTTTATTACCTATTGGTCAACGATTCGATGAATGGTTGCAAAGTTTTAGTTATGATGTTTTAATTTTCCCTACTTAGTCTCATTTCACTTAACTTAAAGATGTTTTCTGATGACTTTATTTCTGGTAACTCCAGCTTAAATTCACTGGTAAGTCAGGCGACCAAGTGATCCAACCAAAAATGGAAAATTCTTCGCTCCAACACTCCACTTCATCTAGTTGCTCGGCATCACAAATACAGACCATAGCCTCCAGCAACCCTCATCGTGTTTTACATGTTGGCAGTGTAAGTTTGATTACAAACTAGTTCAAGTATTAGCTATAATTGTACTACAGTTCAGTACTTGTTTGTTTAACTTATGGTCAGATAATCACAATACTTCTGTAACACTATTCGCAATTATCTGTACTTTTCATTAGCAAACTCCACTTCTGGGCTTTAGTTATTTGAACAACTCCAACAGTTTATGATAGGCTTGTCCATAACTTTAATGAAGTTTTACAACTATCCGTTATTGGGATAATTTCTTTACAGATCGCATTTTTGGCTATATCCCGTGTCGTAATAATGTCTAATTATTGACATGAAGTATATGTACTTGCTTGTAACTGAGTTCACAGTTTTTTAGCTATACGACAAAATCGTTCTTTTTGTGATGATAAAAAAGTTTTCTTAATTTCCGTATTGTCTACATAAAACTATATTGACAACTCCATCTCTTTATTCTTCTTGTGGTTTGGCAACTTCAACTGATTTACGTACGTACAAAGTTCTACATTGTCACCAACTGACTGACAAACCTGTAAATCCTGTTTCTCTGCAAAGTTGCTAAAACCAAGTGAATGTTTAAACTTGAGTTGTGAATCTTTTTCGACTACTTAGTTTTCATATGCTGTTATAAGATTCACTGAGAACCATTATTATATTCCCAATAAACCGAAATTTATCTCAGTAATCACTAAAAAACTTTACTGGGTCTATTTGCTTTCAATATCAGAAATTGCACTAATTAAACGGTTGTTATAACATGGCCAGTAAGAGTAGAGGATATTCGTTGGCTATTAGTATTCGATCTTAGGTGTCTTCGGTGCATTGCTCGTATATCCTAGGACAACCGAGTAAGCAGTGTTGTTGTTAGGAAAAGGGTACTAAGGATAACCGATCAATAGATGAAGTAGACAAACTTCATCATTTGAGGTGGTTGGGACATGTGTTACGTATGCCTAACCACCGACAGCCTCGATAAGCTATGTTTTATGGTGTAGGAGCAGGTTGAAAGAAAGCTAGGGGCGGCCAAACCAAAACATGGCACGAATCCATGAAGTCATTGACAAGCGGGCTGAGTCATGTTAGTAAGTGTGGACTACCTGGTGGGGTCTGTGAGACAATCGTAACCGATAGTTCTAGACTTTGAATCACATGGCTCAAAATCGTTTGCAATGGCGCTGGTGCATCCATTCTTTGTGTTCTCCCAAATTCTCATCTAAAATCCTCTTGACCTCATCTTTCTGTTCTCAAATGTATTTCTCTGGATTATACCCCTTAAATAACATCTTTAAACGTTTATCTTTCCCAATATTGCTCATACTCGTGCTGCATCTTGCACTATGGGATTTGAATCGGCAATCGCATCTTTGTGCTAATTTTGTATGGCAACTTGAGTTGATGCTTGATGCACGAAGTCCTATGTTGTAACTGACTGACTAATTTACACGCTGCTCACTGAACAGATAATGGCAACTGTCTGTTGCAGCTATGCTCAGATAACCTAGTTTTAGGAAATACAAATTTTAGGTATAAGGAAAAACACCTTTTTACGTAACGACCCCAAAATCTACTCATTGCTGAACCGAACTAAATGACATTGCTATCTGCCACCAATGGAAAGACTCAGTCGAAGACTGCCGCTGATTCTTTCGCACACGCCTAGATTCAGATCGTGCACTATTACGAGCATGTATTTGACTTCGTCTCACTGGATGTAAAAAGTCCTCAGCACGGAAACTCCTTGGAGCTCAACTAAGTGATAAGAAAAGTCAATCATACATTTCAGAAACAACTAGAATACCAATTGGCCAAACTTGTTAGTAGTGCCCACTCCGAAGCAGCTTGAGATGATATCCAAAAGGTTACGGAGACAGTTGTGATATCTTCCAGTTCGGTAAACCAAAGTTTTACGAAGAAGCAGATCTCAGTATCATCCATTATTCACTCTCAATCATAGAAATCCATAAAGAACTTTGGGGAACAGTTAAACTGGCCTTCAACCACGCCTCAGCCACCCACACTTTCTAAACACCCTGACTGTCAAGTTGATGTTAATCCTTCAAGTTTTAGTGAGATTGAAAAGGCTATAGGAAATCTAAAGCGAGACAGTGACAGGATCAATAGATTTCCAAGGATGGTGGCACTTTTGGCAATCAGATTGACTGAGATCTTGGAATCTGGTAACTGGACGTAATCCTATCTTGACTTGTCTCAATCACTGATTGTCTCCGTCAACAAGAAAGGACAAAAGGTTTGTGATAATCACAGGAATCAGTTTAACTAATATAGTGTCTAAGATATTAGCTTCTATAATGCTTCAACGCCTAACCGGTGCTCATGAAGAGTAGACACGAGAAAACTAGGCTGCTTTCAGATATATATGTGGATGTACGCACCATATATTCACACTTGGTCCTGGAACATAAACACATTTCGGCATCGGACATTAGTTGTATTCCTTGAGCTTAAGACGGTGTTTGACCCTGTAGACCTTGGGGTTCTATGGTAGTGTCTGTCACTAAAAGGAGTACTAGAGGATTACAGTAAACTGGTATAGGTTCTACTCGAGCACTACTGGTCGAGTTACAGCTTATGGCGAACTGTCACCAGAATAGATTACTTCAGGTTGCAGTTTGTCAGTGCTGTCCACTTTCTCCATTATATAACTTTGTCAATAACATGCTTCTAGAGATGACACTCATCATCTGGCTTCGCAAGTATAGACGTGTTACAAGGAGATCCACTGGTCGACATAGAATATGCAGATGACAGTTGTGTTTGCTGAGGATGCTGACAAAATGCATAGTCTTCTGACCACCGTAGGCAATAATGCAAGCATGTTTTGGATGCGATTCTCTCCTTCGAAATTCAAAGTGTTGCTTTAGTTTTGGTGCGCGTTAGTGTCTGAACTAGTGATAGGGAGTGAAGTAGTTCAGCCTGTCGACCATCTCACTTTTTTTCATAGTCTCATCAGTCCTAATATCCGTTTGCTAAACAAAGGACGAGTTTATTGTCCATTAGTTCGATTCGTACTACTTTATGGGTATGAAACATTACCACTAGGAATGGGGTTCCTGGGTAACTAGTATTTGATCATATGTGTCATCAAAGCGTCTTTCGTGTATTCTGGGAATACCGAATTGACAGTTATTGGGTTAAGGGTAGGGTTTCAGGTAAGGTAGTGAATAGGTTGAGACATATGCTGTGTATACTTGCTTACTGCGTACCTCGGCCAGCGTTTTTGCCTGGTATTTGATTCGGCTGGAACCAAATTATAGCATCAGTTTATGGAGTGACATATATGTACATGTTTGTATTCTACTTTTTTTCCAGCCTGGTTCCGATGGAGTTCAAATTGTACGCACTTTACCTTCTTTTGTTAGTTCTACTACTCAAATAATTTCATTTCCAACAGTAGCAGCCCAACAACCGGTTGCAGCTCAATCAAACAATCCCAGGCAACAAATTCAGCAACAACCTACTTACATTCTAGTCCCAGCAGCTCAGCTAGCAAGTGGTGGTGAGAATCAAGTGTTTGCGAGCACACCCATACGTGCTGTTACAACAGGTTGGTAAAAATTTGTTTTAGATCAATTTGCATATATTATGTTTGCATCAGATATCTGTTTTTTAATTTTGAGTATATTTAATATTAAGACCTTACTTTCATTAGAAATAACAACACATGTTTTTCAAATATGTGGCCACTCTTTTACTGTCGAATGCTTGAACTAAACACTAATTACTATTAGTATTCCTTCTGAATGAGACATCGTTTAGTTACAATAGTTACATTTAAAGGCTTTCTTATCATTTACAAATATACAATCATTTCAGTATATGTTCAACTGAGATATGTTTTATTTTGCTTAATGTTCTGAATTAACAAGATGTATCATCATGGTAAGTATTTAGTTTTTGATTGTATTAGCTAGTAGTTCACCATTGGAATTTAAGATGCTCACCACTTTCTATCTGAAAAATCTGTTTTGCATGCCTCACAGTGTGAATGTCCTCACTGAGAATTTATCCCGGAATGTTTACTACCAGAGCTTGGTGATTGGATTAAACTGTATTTGAGTTATGTCTCAGTTAAGGTCTGTAAGATTTCAGGTCCAGATTCTTTCTCATTGATCGAAAGTTTCTGATTCGAGTGAACTTGATTATGTCTTCTCACATCAGATATTTACGTCTTTTGTTAGTAGTATATACATGGATATCCTACCAATATGATTTCATACAATTCATTCCCTTTATGAACTTGGATTAATCCGAAACGACGATTAATGCAAAATATCATATTTCGTGATGACATATCATCCGTAAACTGAAAATACTGAACTGTCTAGTAATTGCAGCAAATTTAGAGAATTTGCGTAAGCTTATGATTATTTAAAAATATTTGTAGAAAAGATAGAAATAAATTGGTAATCATCTTGAACCCTAAGTCAATAAGATAGATTAATTACAAGTTTATCTGTGAATCACCCAGTCAGTCTTAAGCTGTATCGATTAGTAACCATACATTTCCCGTTTCTAGGACACACAATGCTTCGTACTTCTGGATTAGGTATTAACAATAATCAGACCGTCAACACAAGCAGTGTTAATTTAGGTTCAACTGATCGAAGTATTATTCTAGTACAACAACCAGTTGCTGGAACTAGTATCCACGTTGGTTCTGCGAGTACACTTGTTTCTGGTTCAAGTGGTGGTAGTGGTGCCACTTTAGTTCCTCTACGACAATTAGGTGTATCGACTGGGGGAGGCAATGGATTGGTGTCAAATGCAGGTTCTACTCGTCTCATTGGATCAAATGTTGGTGTGGAGTTGTTTTCAACTACAGGCGCAGTTGGATCACGATCGTCTCAAGGTCAAGGAGGTTCAATGGGATTGGTGACAATTTCAGCTAATGCAGGTGCATCTGGGTCTTCATCCTCTGGAACTCCTCAGGTATCGTTTTTGTTCTATTTGTATAGTAGCTAACGATGCTATGCTATTCTTCTGATTGTGTGATTTTATACTCCATTCGTTTTTCTCACAACTCTATTTACTATGATTAATTTTGTCTCTGTATCATCAGTTGTTGGTTTATTAGACTATTAGGTTAATGCGTAGCACTTAAGCAATTCACATTCTTGTCTCATAATTGATTAATGCCAACCTCGCTTCCAGGGTATATTTGATTATATCGAAAAAAAGATTTGTATTGCATTTTATATAATAGTTAGACGCACATTTGATCTAGTCGATGTTTATATCTTGGTTAAGATCTCACTTAAACTGACACCATTTTATTATTTTCCTCATTCTATTTCTTCACAACATCATCTCACTTTGCGTAACTTATATTTTAAGGCTACTTTGTATCAGGCTTAGTCTGTAGATAAATAAAATTAGTATCTCAGATTCGAATCTGCATCGCTCATATAGTTCGAACAACTCAGCCATAATATATCTGATTATTTCTAATTCAAACATGAGTTTAGAAAAAGTCGCAAATACTTTCCTATTAAAGTCAGCTGTATTACGCACAGTGTAGTCGGCTCCTTTTTTCACACAATATATCTTATAATATCTTAATATTCTCTCTCTTCATACTTCTCTTCTGGCCAATATTTTCAGCGCGAGTCAACTTGGCAGCAGTATGTCAAACAGTTCACTAAACTGGGTCCCTGTCCAATCTGTGGTGATAAAATCTCTGGTTATCATTATGGTATATTTTGTTGTGAATCCTGTAAAGGTTTCTTTAAACGGACTGTTCAGAATGCTAAAAGATATGCCTGTCATCGCCCTAACGCTTCTTCCCGATGTGAAATCAATGTAGCTTCACGCAAGAAATGTCCCGCTTGTCGCTTTCTAAAATGCGTAGATAAGGGAATGCGTATTGAAGGTAAGTAATTTTGGCCTGAAAACTAAGCAGGTCTAAAGTAGATTAAGATTATCTAATCACAGTATAATGTATCTATACAGGTGCTTCCTACTACTAATGTTTTTTTATTTTGATCACAATGTCTATTTATGGTACATAAATTAACTTATAATTTCACCGTATATTCCTCATAAACCATACTTTTTAAATCTAAATTTTCAATGATTCATCTTCTTTATGACTCACTCATCTGCACAGTTGTATTTAGTAAAAACTGTTACAAAATATAGTGTCCATTGAATCCCTTCGATAAAAATCTAAACATGTTCAAGATGCACTCCTAAATGTGAAATGTTGCTTGACGGCTGATCTGTGTCAAACCCTAAATTAGTGTTAGGAGATGAGTTTTTTGAGAGCATCAATCACCGCTTATTTTCGGAGTTTCATCAGTCGTGGTTAGTTGGTGTCTGACAAAATCTCGATACGAATTCAGATGTCACAGATATCTTTGGACCATCTCTCAAATGTTAGAATCACAGGATAAATTTCATCCTGTCTTGCTGATGTATGCAGCTTGGACAAACACACATTGTGCCAAAACGTATTATGATTTAGAATGACCCCTTGATGCATTATCTGCCATTGTATCTTGTAAAGTTGATCTCTTTCGAAATCTTTGGTTAGATACTTATTCAGCATATTTCTTGAGATAACCTGTGTTATGTAGCCCTTCTTTAATAAATAAACATATCTCGCCTATTTCTAAAAATTTAGGCAGTTTAGGACGTCGAATGAGCTTTTGTTATCCATACCGGACCTCATGTGGTTACTAGACAGTTATGACAAATAAAACCTGCATTCATAATAGTGTTTTCAACATCGTCAAAATATGAAGACCTAATATCGTTTTCCTGTTTTAGTTGATGTGGTTGAATAGTAAGCAACTGCACCAGTCTTTCTAGTGGCCTAGTCTGAATGTTACATTGTATTGGGTATGTTAGATCCCCAGAACTCGCTTGATATCTTTATTTTGGATTTATTTCATGGACCGATCAGTTGACCTTGAGATCACATTTCCCACCAGGAAAATCCTTGGCTGTGATTGGTTACTGTGTCATTTTAGTGTGCTATTTTTGTGACTGTCCCAAGGACTTCTCTATGGAGTATAAATAAACGCAATTTGAGTGTTTGGATTCATTGTGTGCTGGCTGGGTGTTTGTAGAATACCCTTTCTACGTTATATCAAGACTTGCTGATACAATTGGGACAATCGGATCACAGTAGGCTACCTGGACGCTGGTTAATTGTTTCGTTCACGTTATTCAACCAAGGTCAACCCGTAATAGATCGAGCATGCCTAGAGACGAGTATGACACATTGAAAGCTAACTTTTAAAAGTATAGTTTAAGGATTTGCTGACTTAAAGAAAGATATAAAGATTTTCTATCTCCCTATCTTTCTACTGAACTTCGCTAACCGACTTTTTACAGCAAAGTATGCAAATCTCTTACCATTATCGTCCTTTTCTCCTAGTCCATATCGTCCCATGTTGTATTCATATCCAGTGTTGTTCACGCCAACCTTGGCATTTAGGTCTCCCATCAGAATGTTCAAATGCTTTGATGAGCATCTGTTGACAATTGACTGCAGCTTCTCGTAGAATTGAGTTATCATGCCAACCTACTTCTAAATAAAGAGTTCCTGTGTACTTAGCTAATTCTTCCCCAAGTACACTCTCAACATCATAAGCTTTTGAATAAACTGGGAAGAGTTTTCCTGTAAGGTTCTTCATTGATTCAATACAACGATAGCGGTATAATTTAAGTACACTTTTTATTCATTGTTAGAAATCCTTATATCAGTGTTTAGGTCTAAAGCTGGCACTCAATAACAAATGGTCAATAATAAAAAGGTGAATTAAACTAGTGTTAGCAGTGTGCAGACAATTAGCACTCTGATTAACTATATCATAGAAGGATATTTTCTCTAGGCGAGCCGGAAAAATTAGTGCTCATGGTCTCGTCATCTTAAAGGTGTAATAGGATAAATCAATATTTGGCTTTTTGTATCCTTTCACATACTATCTTTTTCAGAATACTTACTGTCCATTTTGTAATGTCTACCTTGAATCCGGGCACCAGATATTCATTGATTAATATTCTACTATCCTTGATTCGACCTTTTCTGTGAAACAGTAGAACCCTTAGACATACTTGTTAGTTGTGAGAGACCCTTTACCAATACCGTATTCCCTGTACAGTCATCATCGGGAAATTACCATGAGATCCGAAATTTGCTAGTTTTTCTCATAGCAATTAACTTATATAATTCGATTGAACTAGCCAAACTACGGCGTTTAAATAAACCAGTCGTGATCGAATGTCGACTTCAACTATCCCTAATACTAAATGTTCCACGTTTTTTTATTCTGAAATGTTCAGGGGCTTCTAGTCCAATCTTTCTGCGTGTGAAAGTAGTAAAGTGTTTGCCTATTTTTAATATGTCTAAAGACAGTAGCATCAGTCTGCTAGCTAAGTCCTTAGTTTGTGAATTACTAAAATTGTTATGTATTCTTCATACAGCTATTCGTTCGGATCGTACGCGAGGTGGACGTAGCATGTACCCTGGTTCACGTTACCTGCGTCAAATTGCAGCACGTGTTAGTGGGGCTCGCTCTACTTCTGGTCTGGGTATCTCTGGCTCATCTATGGAGTTTTCAGCTTCAGATATCGATGGGAATATGCTTGGTGGATTGACAGACCAAAGTATAATGTCAGACGATGCAGATCAACTTTCTTGCTCTGTTGTTGGACTTGCAGCGCACACTTTGGGTCCTGATGGTTTGCCGGCTTCGGAAGACGCGGGTGGCGGGGTTTATCTAGATCCTGGTGTTCTCGGCACTCATGATAACGATGATGAAGAAATAGATCCTAGTAGTCTGCGTGTTGAACCAAACATTTTGGAATGCGGGAGCGGAATTGTTGGTGGCACTAATATGTCAGCAAATGTCGTTTCACCGTATTTGGGTAGACAGGTAATTATCAGTGGTTCAAATGAGTCAACTCCACGTACAAGAGAACAACTCCCAAAAGTATGTTTGTTTATGTTTAATCTTTATTTACTACTTATTCAAATTTAATTTACTATTTTATTTTTACGGAGTTAGGCTAATGGTTATTTGTTGTACTGTGACTCTAGTTCTGTCACAATTTCATACTGTTAGTTTTCTCACTGATATATTTTTTGTGAATTCTTGTGTTCCTTCTGTTAGCCACACAAATCCAATAGTAGGTGAGAGTAGTCGACTCTGTTAAGCTGAACTCTCTCAAGATTGTTGGTATGCCTTGTCGACCAGTGTCCCCACGAAACGTAAGTCTAGAGTTTCCCATCGACTCCTTCCAACCTCTTAACAAAGCTATCTTTTATACCACTGAATTCACTAAAATATCCTCACTTCAAAATGTAAAGTAGGTCATGTTACTGCACAATAATGGTGATGCTATAAAGAATTATGTTAGGGAGATGATAAGCGAAATCTTACTGAAAAGAAGTAGAATATCTTCATTCAAAAAGGTCGCTTGTTTCTGTTACTAGAGTTTGCTTCAAAAGACTAAAGTTTTCTATCAATAATAATGTTTTTATCATTTCTGTTTACCCTAGATTATTCGGGATATCCTGCTTGTTGAAGAGACTATAGAAGCAGAACCTGAAGATGCATTAGAAATCGATGCTCCAGTTTCTGACGCAACTTCAGCTCCTGAAGGGGTCTCAGATGACGAGGCAGCTGTGTATCGTGCGCTGTTGAATTTAGCTGATCAACGTTTGTATCGAACAGTTCGTTGGTCTCGAGCCCTTCCAGATTTCTCTTTACTTGACACGGATGATCAAATACTTTTAATACAAAATTGTTGGGCAGACTTATTGTGTCTTGATTGTTGCTGGCGTTCGTTGCCTACTCCCTCAGTAAGTATCGTTAATCATCCATGGTATCTATTGTTATTATACTGTGAATGCCATTTGATTGATTGGTGATTTGGTGTTCGTAGCTTCAGACTTCAATAATATTTGTCGGTCCTTTCAACATATTGATTATTTCAATAATTTGAATATGACTAATCGAACCCTCAGCTTTACGAGTATTCTATTAATTGTGATTTTACTTGTATTAGTGTATCTCTTTATTATTAATTAATAAATATATTGTTCTTAGGAAATTCGTCTCACCTCAAGCAAATGTATCAATCTTGAAGCTGCACGTGAAATGGGTGCTGAAGAAATAGTAGAAAGAATTTTACAGCTCACTCAATCTCTAACAAGACTACAGTTGGATGTTGTAGAATATGCATGTTTAAAGGTCATAGTTTTGATGCAACCAGGTGAGTTATTTTTCGTAATTTTCCAAAATAACCAATATAAATCAATTCTGCTTTTTTCTCTTTTTTGAACTTAATGACATTGTACACTCATTGAATCCAATCCATGATAATTCACTTGAAAAGCTTTGTATGATGTGATCATTTTATTGAAAATTTCAACTTAATCGTCAGAAACACTTGATTCTGTTAATCAGTTTTCTTAGTTATTCCAATGATGTTAGATGGAGAAGTTATTGCAAATTAATCTTATCATGTGCAAAATATCGTCTATTCTGTGTAATGTAAGAAAGTAGCCAACAACTGATATATTAATTACCGTTTTTGATATTGCATTTTCTGAACTATGTAGAAGAGATCAATCAGTAAACTAATTCTAGGCTAATCATAAAATATATTGGACAATAATAATAAGATACGAAGTTAAAAAACCCTGTGAGGCCATTCATTCACAAATATGATCATTAAAACGAATTAATTTAAAACTTGTGGGATGATTCCCGACCGTGGTGGTCAAGCTTGCCTACGTGATGACCCGACCGAGCTACATTAGCTGGAACACCTATTCCTTTTAGTCATGCCAAGCCAGGCGTGCTGCCTTCTCACATTAGAAAAAAGGGGTTCAGTCAGTTAGTTACAACGTAGAACTTCGTACGTACGTACATCAATTCAACAGCACAGAGACACCATTATCGATGCAAATCACATAGTGGTGTAGGTAGTAGAAGTATTAGCAGTAATGGGGAAGATTAGAGTTCGAAGATATGATTCGAGAAGTATGGTTAAGTGAGATAACTTAAGAAAGATAAAAATGGAGGTGATGAGCAATTCAGGTTAGAATTTGAGAAAACGCAGTGGATGCACCTGCGTCATTGCAAATGATTTTGAGCCATATAGTTCAAAGTCTCGAACCACCGGTTACGACTGTCTCACGGATCCCACCAGGTAGTATACACCTAACATGGCTCAGTCCACTTGTCAGTGACTTCATGGATTTCTGCCATCTTTTGGTTTGGCAGCCCCCAGCTTTCTTCCAACTTCTACACCACAAAACCTAGCTCGTCTAGGCAGTCGGTGGTTGGGCATTCGTAACACATGTCCTAGCCACGTCAACTGATGAAGTTTGTCTACTTCATCTATTGGTCTGCCACATCCCTACCTAGTACTCGTTTCCTAACGACAGCATTGCTTACTCGGTTGTCCCAGGATATACGAGAAATGCTTCGAAGAAGTCTATAATCGATTACTAATAACCTACAAATGTCTTCTACTCTTAACGGCCATGTTTCTCAGCCATAAAGTAGGACAGAGCGAACTGCTGCGCAGTACACTCGTCCTTTAGTCAGCAAGCGAAGGTCCACTCCAGAAGAGTTAGACGAAGACAAAGTTAACTCTAAAAGCATGTTTATGACAAAGTTAAACAAGAATGGCGAGAGTGGACAGCCCCGACGAACACCACTTGAAGTAAAGAATTCCGATGGCAGTTCGCCATGGGCTCTCACTTGACTAGTAGTGTTCCTAACACCTAAATTATTTATTTCCCAAAAAGGCGATTATCTAAGCATAGTTGCAACAGACAGTCGCCATTATCTGCACGACGAGCCGTGACACCATAAAAGCTACCCAGGAGCCTTTCAGTTCCTCTTACTTTACCTTCTTGAGCAATAAAATCACCAGCCACTATTACTACTTCAGAGCACTTAGCTTTTTGACTAGCGTTGGAAAACTTTCCGCGAAATCCATAGTTTACCTCATGAGAACTGCAATCAGTGGAGACTTAGACAGATACGACGAAGAGGCAGCGGCCACTAGTGGGACTGTCTACTGGAATCCAGTCTAAAGCAGCTAGTTTTGCCTCAGAAGTCAATACTTGCATAAACCAGCGAGGCCATGGGAAGCAGCAGCAGGGTTCCAAGATACTCAAAGCGTAAACCGAGTTGATTCTTTATCTGGACAGGATGAAATCAAATGAATGATTTTTCTGAGATCCTGTATACACGTTTTGGAGACGCAACATACATCAATGGCATACGATTTTAGAGTCCTGCATAGGGACGCCTGTTGCATCATTCGACACATCATTCGAACATTAACAACTCCAACATGTAGCTTGGAGCGTGGTCTCAGGAGACCAGAAATAACGTTTTATGAACTCAAACTGTGTGCATTAGCGGCGCTAGGTGACAAAGAAATTACAAAAAGGGTTGGTCATGGAGATAAGAGAGTTATTACGAGGTGTCGAAAGGATTTGATTGTGACTGATTTGGTCTCGTGTGACGTTACGGGTTTGAGGACGGATGTCTACGTGAAAGGGTACTTCTTGAGGAATATGAAGATGAAATCGGATTATCATTAGTCTGAGCGACTTATAGACGTGACCGCAGAGCCTAAAGGAACAACTCCTTGAGCTCGGTCTCACACGGTTCATTAAGGGATTTTTTCCAAGTGATAGTTCCGCTCTTGAATTGGCCTTATCCCCGAAGTGAAACAGTTTAGCATGACGACCATTTCACTTTTCCTAATGGTCTCATCAGTTCTATAGGTCTGGTGTGTGACGAAATTTCGACGCGGATGCAGTAGGCCTTACTGGTTTCGGCCAACTTGTGTCAGTTATTACATAGACGAGATATTCATCCTTCTATGCGTGTGTGAAACATAGCCACTGAGAAAAGAAGATAGGGTAGTAGTTTTCGATCATCGGTGCTACCCCGATGTTGGGGGTGCTCAGTGGGGCTGGTCGATTTAAGAGTGTGTACACCTTTGTAGTTGCTTCCACGTCTGCTCTCAGTGCCTTTGCTGGATCGTTGTTTGAGCCCTCCGCTTTGCCACCCTTGATTTGTCTGATGGTCAGGATGATCTCTTCAATTGTTGGTGTGTCTACATTAATTGGGAGGTCTGCATGTTCTACTTCGATAGTAGGGCAGTGATTCAAAAGTCTTACAAAGTGCTTTACCCACCTGTTTCGCTGTTCTTCAGTGTTGCTGATTACTTTGCCTTCCTTGCTTTACACTGGTCGTTTTGGTTTACGATAGTTTCCGGCGAGCTTCTTTGTATCGTACAATTGTCTCATATTTCCTTCTCTTGCAGCCTTTTCCGCCGTCATTGCTAGATCTTCCACATATTTTCGTTTGTCGGCTCTGATGCTCTTCTTCACTTTCACTTTCTTCAATTTTTTCAAGAGTATCAACAGAGATCCATTCCTTGTGATGTTACTTCTTGTGACCCAGAACTTCGTGACATGTTGAAGTTATTGCCTCTTTAATCCCTTTCCAATTGTTTTCCAATGTTGCATCCTCTCCATTGAGTAGATCCTGCAAGGTCTGGAACTTATTGCTGAGAGCTATCTTGAATTCGTTGAGTTTTACGGTATCCCGAAGAAAGGCCGTATTAAACTTCTGTGATGTCTGCCCCGTTATCCAGTGCTTCTTTAGTTTCAGTTTCATTTTGACGATCAGCAAGTGTGTGATCTGAGACTATGTCAGCTCCTCTCTTGGTTCTCTCATCCTCCATGGTCCTTCTGAACTTTTTGTTAATACAGATATGGTCGATTTGGTTTTGAGTAGTGTGATCCGGTGAAATCCATGTAGCTTTGTGTATGCGCTTTTCTGGGAACACTGTGCTGCCTATGACCAGTTTGTTGAAGGGACCTAAGTATGCAAATCTATCACCATTATCGTCCTTTTCTTCTAGTCCATGTTGTCTTCATATCCAGTGTTGTTCACGCCGACCTTGGCATTAAGGTCTCCCATGGATGACTCTGCTGGTCTACCACATTGTGCAAACATTTCATATACCTCTATTATTGGTTGTTCGGGTTTTCTAAAGCAGCATCAACCTCGTGACTTACGAAGAAACTCGGCTTTCATCATGAGACATGATGACTCTCCGAAGGCAGAGTTTGAATGGTTTACGAGATTTTTTTGGTTGATACTTTTTATCATGATTATTTCTTAGGGAAGGCGGTTGTTAACCCCATGCCTATTTCTCCTCCTTTATCCGTGCTTGGGACCGGCATTCACCTCTCAGAAGAACTAGAGGCAGAGTTACAAACGACTTTTAGGTTTCCATTACAGATACTTCACAATCTCTAACCCTGATCATCAGAATGATTATGATACTAAGTAATCTAACATTTGCGTAATAAACACGCATAAATAACAGTTGTTAGTTTTTGACAAGTAGATTTAGTCCAGTAGTTTGAACTTTAACACTAGAAGTGTACTCGACTTTTAAGTTAAATGTTTTTAAATCAACGAATAATGTAAGGCGATTCTTATATTTTAATTGTTTTGAAAATTCAGATTTGAACAATTTGAAAGCAAGCTCTCAAGTTCGATCCTATCAAGAATCTGTTCGACGACTACTAATGGATTATGTATCCAAGTCGTCACCCGACATAAATGATAAGTTTAACAAATTGATCAACCGAATCCCTGAACTACGTAAAACAAGTCAAGCTGCTCGTCTGATGCTTGTTGATTTGGACTTATCTTCTTATTTATCAACTAATTCTCTTCTAATGGAACTTTTACGCAGTGATATTCAACGATATACACCAAATAATGGAACAAGTAATATGACAGAATCTGCAACAACAATATCAACACAAGGTTCTGCTAATTCCGGTGTGAAAACTGTCTCAGTCACTTTAGGAGCTGACACTGCAGAAAATCAAGAGGAAAATACTACAGTCACAATGGTGCCATCAGCAGGTGTTACTGATTTATTGTCATTACCTAATAATACTACTATTACAACAGTAACAGAGAGTAGGCTGAATGAAACAATTACTAGTGATAGTAATAATTCACTAACTACTTCTGAAGTTGACGTTATTTCCAAATAGATCAACTTTTTTATGGATACATGTTATTATTACTATTATAATTGTAATGATTATTAGCTGTCTATGGATAAATAGATGCATATATTGTACTCTTTATCTGTTTACTGTTTTGCGCCCCACATTTGTATAAAGGCACTTCTAATATTATCTCTATTAATATCTTCATTGGTATACAATACTGGCACAGATTTTATTGTAAATATTTCCGTTTTTGATAAATAACTATATAATTTACCAGATAATACTGTCTGTTTGTCTTATTATTTTTCGGAGCTCCGTAAATAGTTGTGGTTCTTGTCAAACATGTTTAGGTACTCTTGTACACTTCCATATCTATTCGTTCTTAATATACAGATTCTCTTTCATTATCTCCCTCTATTCCCGGTTGTCTGTTGTATTTTGTACACCTTTACATCTGACATAAATGTGTACATATTTATATATATTACTGACGATTATGTTAGTAGCTTAGTTCTTTGTTCTTTTTTTTTAATCACATGTATCGCATATAGTACACAATATTATTTTCTTTTCGATATTTATATATTAATATTGATAACAATCAGTACAGGTGAATATATCGCACGTATCACTAGATATAAAACTATATTAAAAATCTTAAATATAACTATCGATTCAATTTATGTGTGGCAACAACTTGATCAAAGAATAAATGTAATCTGTTCTATTTTTCAGTTTCAATAGCAGATTAGCTTTTTCACGATTTTACTTTCCATTTCCTTTTATACATATATATCTATGTGATTTGTCGGTATTTTAACTGGGAAGATTAATAATCCATATAATCATAATTATTATTGTTAATTGGTAAATGCATATTTCATTATTATTCTTATTACTGGTTATTCTGTTTTCTATCCTACAAGTTGGTAGATGATTATTATCTACTATGATTTTCGAGTAGTATTATTTGCAAACTCATTTAGTTTATGCAATATTAACTTGCGATTGTTAAATGAAATATCGACCTCACCCATCCTATTCTATTGTTTTAAATTATTACTGTGAAATGTAGCTTTTAGAAATAGAGGTGATTCGTAGGTTACTGTTGTTTAACCTAAGATGACCTCAGAACATCGCCCCAGTGTGCTGAGACCATTCAGTGAGTAATGCTAAGATCAGACGAATGATATCAGATAAACATGGTAAATTGACTCTTAAGTTAGTGAATCTCCATCAATTGAAGTAGTTCGAAAACTTATTGCCTAATTCTAGTAGCCAACTACCCTGACAGATAATGTTAATTGGTATCGGGATAAGTTGGATGAAAACTGAGACACAACAAATGAAAGTGTACTATTCGTTCATGAAGTATTTGGCTGATAAGTCGAGCCAGGTTGGTAGGTTCAGACTACCTGGTTGAGGTGTGCGCGATGTTCATAACCAATGATTGGATACTTACGACGTCGGCTGCAACGGTACATGTTCATTAACTTTTCGTTTCCCCTTAGATCTTGTGTTCAAAATCTACTTTCTTTTTATTCCATTACTCCAATGTTTCTTAGATCATATTTTATACGCCTCGTCTTTTTTACTAATAGCGTTGATACTTTTATTACTACTACTGAGATTTGCCTGAATTTTATCTTATGAAGGATATGTCATTGCGAGTCAGACCGATGCATAAATATACCATGTTTTAACATTGGATAAGACTGAATTTTTCTATTGTTGAGTTACTTACATATTTGGGTGCTGAAGTTTAGGTGCGGTGAGCTTGTCCGAACAATTTTCCATGAACACCCTAGTAAGTGACTGAATACTAATCCTCGGATTTCTTGTATCTACTGCTTATCCCTAGTCAAAAAATGAGATGTTGACTGAAGAAAGGAGGAACAAGAAGGCAGCAATCAATATCAGCCGAACAAGAGCTGAGAAAGTTAAGGCACAAGCTGCACACAGAAGCAAACAGGAAAGTGAAGAAGAGCATCAGAGCCGACAAACGAAAATATGTGGAAGATCTAGCAATGACGGCGGAAAAGGCTGCAAGAGAAGGAAACTTGAGACAATTTTACGATACAGAGAAGCTCGCCGGAAACTATCGTAAACCGAAACGACCAGTGTAAAGCAAGGAAGGCAAAGTAATCAGCAACACTGAAGAACAGCGAAACAGGTGGGTAGAGCACTTTCAGGAACTCTTGAATTGACCAGCTCCACTGAACACACCCAACATCGAAGCAGCATCCACGGACCTCCCAGTTAATATTGGCGCACCTACGATTGAGGAGATCAGTATGGCCATCAGACAAATCAAGAGCGGCAAATCAGCAGGACCAGACAACATTCCAGCAGAGGCAATGAAAGCAGACGTAGAAGCAACTGCGAAAATATTTCACATCCTCTTCAAGAAGACTTGGGATGAGGAACAAGTACCATCAGATTGGAAAGAAGGATACCTGATCAAAATACCAAAGAAAGGCGATCTCAGTAAGTGTGAGAACTATATAGGCATCACTCTTCTTCCGATACCAGACAAAGTCTAGTACAGGGTGTTGTTAAACAGAATGAAGAACTTCGTAGACGCCCAACTTCGAGATCAACAGGCCGGATTTCGTAAGGATCGATCGTGTACTGACCAAATTGCTACATTACGGATCATTGTGGAACAATCAATTGAATGGAACTCACCACTCTACATCTGTGGTGCGCGCTACTTAGAAGTAGTATATGACGTGAGTGTAAACGTAATGTCTGGCAGTAGAAGATGAGGGAAGATCAAGAAAGGAAGAGTGGGAACACAATGGAATTTGTATGAAACGCATGAATAAGTGAAATGTCAGACAATGGATTGATGATTGATTGAAGATTTGCAAATTAACGGTTACGATATGGTTTTCCTATTTTACTGAGTAACTCTGTAATTTTCGTTAAATACAATTCGGTTGCCCCACCTGTGTTCTCCTTCACTACACATCAACTTCATCGACTACAAGAAAGCATTCGATAGCGTGGATAGGAAAACACTGTGGAGGCTTCTTCGACACTACGGTGTGCCTGAGAAAATAGTTAACATCATGCGGAATTCTTATGATGGATTCAACTGCAAAATCGTAAACGAAGGACAGTTAACAGACTCTTTCGAGGTGAAGACCGGTGTCAGGCAAGGTTGCTTACTCTCACTCTTTCTCCTGGTGATCGACAGGATTATGAAGACGTCAGCATCTGGAGGGAAGCATGGACAGCTAGGATCCAAATGGACGATCTGGACTTCGCAGATGACCTGGCTCTTCTATCTCACACGTAACAATAAACGCGAGAGAAGACGACCAGTGTAGCAGCAGCCTCTGCAGCAGTAGGTCTCAACTTACATAAAGGAAAAAGCAAAATTCTCCGATGCAACACAACATGCACCAACCAAATCACTCTTGATGGAGATGCCTTGGAGTACGATAACACGTTTACATATCTGGGCAGCATCATCGACAATCAAGGTGTGCGCGCATTGGCAAATCAAGGGCTGCATTTCTACAGTTGAAAAATGACAACTTTTAACCAAAATCAGGATTTTCAATACAAATGTCAAGACAGTTCTACTGTATGGGGCGGAAACTTGGAGAACTACGAAAGCCATCATCTAGAAGATACAAGTGTTTATTAACAGTTGTTTACGCAAAATACTTCGGATTCGTTGGCCAGACACCATGAGCAGCAACGAACTGTGGGAGAGAACAAACCAGATTCCAATGGAGGAGGAAATCAGGAAGTAGCTTTGGAAGTGGTTAGGACACACTACGAAAAGCACCTAACTGCGTCACGAGACAAGCCCTCACCTGGAACCCTCAAGGCAAAAGGAAAAGAGGAAGGCCAAGGAACACATTACGCCGAGAAATAGAGAAAGACATAAGTAGAATGAACAAAAATTGGACAGAACTGGAAAGGGAAGCCCAGGACAGAGTTGGTTGGAGAAAACTGGTGGGTGGCCTATGCTCCATTGGGGTTAACAGGCGTAAGTATGGGTTAATGTTATCTTATGCTTGCAGTCTTCTGTAAATACTGCCTACATCCGATAGAATTGAACTCCACTGGTCATGTCATCTCAGTTGATGCGCACCGCTGATGAGTCCCATACCGGGACGAAACGGCCGTCCAGTGTTTCCAGGTTTCTAATAGTTGTCTAACAATGATTGATTCATGATATCAGTGATATATTTTATTCCCGACCACATTAGAGGAATGTTACTAGACAATCAAATGTAGTAAATATGAATTTTATTAAGTAGGTGACACTTATTTTTTCACTGTTCATTGCTACATCCTTCCACTGTTTGCAAACTCTCGTCATGATCAGGAAATATTTCTTGAAAACCGTCTAGTCCGCTAACTGAATTCATCATTGATTTACAACTATTGGATTGAACATACGTTCTTGTATTTCTAAATTTGCACACTACTAATCATTTTTTAATAAGGTGTATGAAAATTTAGAATTAAATCCAAGTGAATTGTTTCAAACAAATAAAAAAAATATGCATGAACTTCTTTTGCTAATATAACAACTTATACATTTGGTAGAAAACTATGCTTATTTAAAATATAAAATTTAAAAATGTAGATTAAATGAACTTTTTATTTCATTTCGTGTTTCCTTTTTAATAATAAACCACTGGAGTCTTATGGAAATCGTTTTGTTTTCTGAATATATTTTTAGTTTTATGATTAGAAAGATATATGTGAGTTTACTGCATCTTTCACTGTAATACTTATATGGAAATCGATAATTCATTTACATTCGAGTTTGAATTTGGTTTTCTTTTCGACGCTGAAAAATAAAGAGTGAATGGTCAATAATTTGATCATATAATAATATAAAAATTTAACAAAAAACATACAAAGAAAATATCCACTAGATGCCTAGTGAAAACTACCGTTTAATTAAATAATCACAATAAATCTAATTTAAAATCACTTTTAAATGGTTTTTAAATTTCATATTGATGAAGTGGCTGATATGATAAGGGAATTTACACTGAACTGATTAGGTTAGACTAAATCTTCAAAAAAACTGAAGCAGTGCTTGCCGTTAACGCCTTTCAAAACTTCCCGCTTCGAAAATTACTTATTATAGTGGTTACCGCAGATAGTCAGAGCATTACAGAAAGATCTTTCTAGCCACCAACCTCGGAACTCCGTCACTTTATAAAAAAAAACTTATCTGTTCTTCAGTCCCTCTACTTTACAACAATGTTAGACAGTTTTCGATTTGAAACCGATGTAAGTAAGCACCTATCTAGTCTGTAAGCTTTCCGATAAATATCTATCATAAAAGTAATCGGTTTTTAAACAAACCTGGTTCATTGAATAGTTTTAGTGAAACGGATTTGAGAGTTAACTTTCAAAGTGATATCATGAAGAAATGGTAGATATAAATTAATCCACTTGAGAATTTGTTTCATTCAGATAGTTGCCTTCAGTAGTTGATCACCAACAAATCAAAATATGACTGAACATGCATTCATATAGTCAGAGATCTTGAAATTACATTGTAATCGATAATATACCTTTTGGGAATAAATGAAGTCATTAGGAGTCAGCAGTTCATTACTGTTTGACACTCAGACAGAAAACTTAGTCTTATGAAATGCATGAAATTCACCAATTGCATAACATAGATAAACATCGGATGAATCAGTTAAAACGATTACTCTGGAAAAAAGGAAATATTCATGATTATGATTGATCTGGTTATTTTGAAACTATTTAAAAATGGTAATCAAATACATCATTAAAAAATTATTCACATTCTGATATGCCATTGTATTTAGTTGTTAAATGTCATGGTTCCAAAGTACAGCAATGTAATGTAGCATGTCACAAGAGTTAATTGATGAAATCTCTAGGATTAATTATCATAAATGATCAGAGAACAACTATAGTTGATCTGATCCTATTTGTTGACACCACCGGCCAAATCACATATTTTAATTTATTTATTTATTTATTTATTTAAACATATAAACACTGATACAAAAGGATACCAAAATATTAATGAATCCTTTAGTAGATTGGAATACTGTCCAGGTGCTTGAACCAAAGAAAGCCATTCTACTAGCCTTTGAACCTGAAGTCTTATCTACAAGTCAGTTTAGCAGCGTCAGAAGATGCAGTCCCATGGAAGCTAGTGACCTACACTAAATTAGTACGCCATTTGTACCCTCAGAATTTAGTTTTAGTCAAGGTTTCCATTTCCACTAACCTGGATGAAGCCCCATACATTTGCTTTCTGTCCTCCCGATTTCGTGATCAATGTCCTCTCCGTGAGAAGGTACTGAGTAGGAATTATCTTGCAGTGGTTTGACATGTATGACCAAATTTGAGCATTTCAAGAGGGTAAGCGGACTCTCTTTCCACGAAGGCTTTTAGGTCAAGGTAAAACCTGAATCGAAATTTTTTTATCTTTATCTGGTTTTCTTTCTTACTGTAGCTAAGCCATTATCTAAATAGTTTCATTCTATTATCTGGTGGTTTTTATCATTAATTTCATAATTCTCTGGTTCACCTACTTTGTATGACTGAGTAGTAAATACTTTATTCAGTACAGCTTTGTTAAGACATTAGAATCTCCAATCATGTTCATCTTTATATAACATCTGAAATAAACATCGCAAACTCTCTTCAGCCTCAACGCTGATTTGAGATTTCCAAATTATTTTCAATTATGTTGGCCTACATTCTAACAAAATTTTCAAAGTCAGAACTAATTAGTACACTGAATAGAAATCTGACGATTTCATTATTTCACCATAACTTATTTTCTATGCCATTGATACAGTCTGACGATCGACTGTTCGCATTTTGTCTTATTCACAGGTATTTATATTAAGCTAGCATTCTTTTTTAAAATATATAACAAAAATTACATACATGCAACTTTGTACATCACCTTTTTCATATATTATTCTCAAAATTTTACTTTGTCATGTGAATATGTGTGTATAAATCAATTCTATTGGTGCTATGCATCAAAATACAGTTCACTTGTTTATGTGTGTGTGTGGGTGTGTGTTGATATTTGTGTATGCACTAAAACTGGCGTCATACAAGCACAAATTACTTCACGTGCACATAAGCATTTATGTATACTATGCACCATCCAACCCACATAATCTAACCTGCTCATTTACTAGTGATTATTTTTAAATTTCATTTAGGAATATTTCTCTCTCTCTGTCTCTCTCGCTCTAAAGCATGGAAACATCTTGATACAGTTAACTTTCCAAATCGAATAGAGTTCTTTTTTTTCTGGTTTGCAAATGTTTCAACAAAGTATTATATTTCATAAAACACAACCATCATCTTGGATTCATAGTGTTAGCAGTGTATACAACAATGACCTTGAAGCAATAATATGAAGTTTATCTAATGCAAATTGAATTAACACTGGCTGATTTTACTTTCTTTTAAAAATATTAATGGAATAGTAACAGAAAACTTTGTGATTATTTTTTTTGTAGTAAATTTATCCTAGTGGTATACAGGTGGATTCAATAAAAATTTAATGATTTTTCAATTATCAATTATAATGTATATTTTACATGAATTACTTTCAATGAAAAAATACAAATTTGCATTTACTCATTAATAATCCATTTGTCAACAATACAATCAGTCATATCAATCAAAATATTTATTTGCAATCATCATCTATTCATTAGATAATGTTTACACCGACTTGGATATTATCTCTATCATTGTACTTATATTACATCAGTGAGTTCTGTTATAATGGTAAGCAAATTTTTAATGTTCTGTGTTTACTATGTCATTTAACAGAATTTACATAGATATTAAGGAGCATTTACATTTACCTTTAAAATAAGAATTGATTTAACTCAAATACTGTAGCTTCAACCATTTTTATGCATTGAGCAATGAAATATGTAGTGAATTTGCTGCAGTGTCAAAGATACGTGAACACGCGACTAACTAATCGATATCAGTCTCTAGGAAAATGTCTCAATTTGAACAAGTCATTTTTATTGAGTAAATAATTATACTTCAACTAAAATTTTAGTGTAACAGGTAACGAAGAGTTTGTTCTTATTGCTAATGTAATCAAAGAATTCACGATTTCAGTGTAAAACAACAATCTCCATAACTCTATAGTGAAAAATCATACATAAATAAACTTATTAACGTTCATTTGTAATTATGTATAAGAATTTATTTATTCGAAATAATGGTTAAAATATAGAAACGTTAATTAGTAGTTTTGTTGGAAGGTTACAAGATCTTTGAAATTGTTAATCTGTAGATAACCCAAGATAAAAGTGTTTTGCCATCTGACGACACTTCACCAAGGCACATCTGGGATCCTGAACAATTTAAAACTGAGTTGTCTTGCGTCATGGTCAGTGAAATTATCGTTGATCTATTTGGACTGTTGAGAACTTCCTGACAGACCGAGATATTTACACGAACTGTTGGCTTAGTACTAACTAATACCGAATTTATATATCGTTTGAAAAATTCTAAGGAACGACAGACAAGAGAGACACCTTTTTGATGAGCCCAACCATCACGAAGTTTAAGGTTTAAGAATTTCCTACCAACTACGTCAAACTACCTAAAGCCGAATCGAACTGCCGTGATATTCAGTGTATGTATCTAGTGACTGAATTTGATATCATGATAATAGTGTATTTTGCTAGTTATAATTTATGGTCTGAGTTCAGTTGTGTTAAGAAATAATCAGCTATGTTTCTTGATAGACTCACATCGATCGATTACTGCTAAAAACCATTTAAATCAAATAAACATCTTAAATCCAAATTATGTTATGATTATTTGAAAAAATACGCGAATCCGCGTTGAAAACTCCCTTTTCAAACAGTTAATAATCCGCAAAAGTACAAGTGGATAGTAGTAGGAAGACAGGTGTACTGATAGTAGTAAGAAAATTGTAAAATATGATAACTAAATTTTTACATTTTTTGAAACTAAAGTTTTATCAATAGGTCAAAGGTGGGTGAATAGACTTCAAATAATGATTAAAAACATCAAAACCATTACGTAATAAGCAAATGTGTAAAAATAAAAAATAAGATAAAATATATAATGTCAATCGTTATTTACGTCATACCCAGCCACGGAAGAGATAGGCGTGTCACGAATTTCTTCTGAACACATAAATTGGGGTTGAATGTACGTATTCCTATGGCTTCTGCTTTGTGTAGGAGACGGGATCGAACTCCATTGGGAAATGATGGAGGTATACGATAGATCACCCGAAAAGATCTAGATTTATCTTCAATGTGACCACTGTCTACCAGGTGTGCTGAGATAGAAATAAGATAGAACACTACAATTCATTTCATACATTTGTGAATAGTACTGTTTGAATGGATTGAGTAATTATAAAGTTCAAGAGTTTATATGTTGCACTGACTGTAACGTTCCTACTTACATCTAGTTGCATTAGATGTACAACGACCAAAATTCTCAACAGTTCTTCAGGAACTGATTTATGTTAGACCTATGTATCATTGTATACGATGAGCCTAGTGGCCTTGAGGTTGGGCATTCGCATATGAAACTCGAGTCGCTGTGTACAGTTCACGTATGCGGGGACGTGGATAGTCACCGCTCAATAGTTCCATAATAGGACGAAACAGCTATTATATGATTCAGGACTTTCAACTGTTGTTTAAGTTATATCGGTCTGTAATCTCAATAATTATCACTAACCTATATTGCTAAAACACACAAATTTTGAATTTACTATGGCTATCTATTGAAAAAATGTATGTCATCTATCTACCATGCATTCAATAAATGCTCTTTTCAATAATTCTATTAGTTATTTGTTATGTGAAAAAATATGTTCATATCGATTGTTGAAATATTTCTATTCAGTATATATATATATATATATATATATATATATATATATATATATATATATATATATATATATATATATATACGATATTACAAACAGAATTCATCGTCTGGAATCTGTTTATGCCATTTTATTATTCCATTATTGACCTTTTTAAGACGTGAATTGGCTCGAAGCACTTTTTTGAAAGTACTCAAGCTGTATATGGTTGATGACTGGTTTGTCGATAATTCTAATTACCTCAATAATAAAAATAATACTGATAACAATACTGATAATAATAATTACACTAATCATAAATTCGTCTGTAGTTACGTACCTTGTGACTATTTTATTTGTTTAATTATATGATCTTTTATCTAAAATCTGACTCATATACTTAATACTAATGTAAACGAGTCTAGTGACCTTTATTTACTTATCATTACATAAGTGTGTCAGCATCTTGATGAAATAAACGACGTTCTTCACGTTTTATTGGCAAAGATTTTTCGACACCCTTCATATCAACTTGGTAACTAAAATTAACACAGAAAAATTGTAATTATCCATTCTTAAATGATATGATTTTTGTATCATGTCAAAGTTATAAATTTAAGGGAGAGTTGTAGAGAATGGCATAGTCAATCATGAATGAGATTTAACTAAATCACCATTGGCAAGCAAAAACAGCACTGGAAGTCAGCTTCATCCAAATATGAGACTGCTTGTTAGCCTGAAACGACAATCTCACCAGCAGCCCTAACCTCCTAACAATCACTTGACCTCCAGACAAGTGAGTTGGGACTCGGTGTTTTCCTAACAAATACTGAACAGCTATTTCTACCTGTTATCGGCTTCTTCAGCGGTCGTCTGGTCAAGGTCAGTCGGTGAAATAAACGCCTCACACATTATTGTTTTATCATGTATCTGGTGGGGATTGAGTTGATTTGTAAATAATTTTCTTACAAAACGATGTAAATTTAAGTGCTACTGAAAACCAATGTTCACTAGTCATCAATTCCACTCCTGTTTGAAACTCTTCAGTAGTGAGCACTCACTACTCAACCAAATAGTGAAATCAAGACCTTTGATTATTACCAATAAATCAATAAGTAGGAATCTATAATACAAGAACTATCTTTGAAATAAGCACACAATACAGATATCTAATTATGATAATAAATATTTACTCACTGATGACAACCTTCAAGAGTAACTTCAGGAATCCTGCTACAAGGTTGTCGAACAGAGTAATTCATTCAGGCCAGATATGAAACCGTCATCATCGTTCACAGTAGATGACGATCGGAATGAAGCTAAAATTGTAAATCATCGAACGCTAACTGAGTAGTTTAAAGTTGATGCTTTGATCGTATGATTTAAAGGTCTATGGTTTAGTCCTGCTGCATAATAATGTTCTAGAATAAAACACCTATTCATTAGTGAGTAATTTGTCTAGCTAAACTCATTCTGTTTGACAAACTATCTGACTTCATACTGAACAATCTCCTAATTATCGAAAACATTATCAAAATTACTAATTAATCGAAGTAAGAATGTTTTAACAGACATACTTTTATCCATATGTATCTGTATGTTTACCGCCTAAACACTGAGTTGATTATCAGAAATCAATAATATCTGAAATAAGATAAATAGTGTGCTATGCTCATAGAATGTTTATGTTAACTTTCAATAGATCGCGCGTAAAATTGTCAATCTTTGAATACCTAACTATGAAGTTAGTTGTGAATTTAGTAACAAACATAATTCCAAAGAAATAAAATTTCAATTTTTTAACAGAATAAAAAAAATGTATAAAGTGTAAATATAATTGTTAAATAACTTTTGTGTGCTTCAATCAAACAAAATTAGTGTTAGTCATTAGTGTGAATAAAATAGATTATTTGTTTTTTTAGTAAGAATAATTTTCAAACGTGTTTAACTGAATCGCGTTATTTTTTTGCAAATGATGAAAGTTAAATAATTTCAATAGTAATTTTGTAAATATGGTTAATATTGTGTTTGTTTTTTTAAAAATAATAACATTGAACTTGATTTTGTTTTGATCAAATGGTATTTGATGCTTGTTTTTTGTTCAATCTCTGAATTTTACATCAGTAAAACTAATTAATTTGATTGACCTTGTACACTGTGTTTGTTATTAACGGTTATCTGTCATGTACCTATATATGTGGTGTGTGTGTGTGTGTGTGAAAGAGAGAGTTTAAACTATTTTGCAAAAAGTTATACATAATTCATTTCATCACTAAACAAACTATATGGATTTTAATTGTATACTGAATGGCTTGTAAGTACTTAACAGTAAAGTGAATATTTTTCTATCGACTCAAAGAAATATACAATTAGACGAACGACAATAGCTATCACCAAATTCTAGTCATTCAAAATTCGAATCAAGTAAAAGTCTGGACAAAAAACCACTCAATGCTGATAACCATTTTTGATTATTAGTTATGAATATGGCATAAATTATTGATATGTGAATCGTGTTTATTATTTAAGCTTTGGGTAATTTAATAATAATAATAATAATAATAGTAATAATAATAATAATAATAATAATAATAGTAGTAGAAGCATTAGTTACGACCAGATGAATAATTAATTACTGTTTACATTTTAACTATCAGACGTCGATTTCAAATAACCTAGTTAATGAGATCATGTATTATAGAAATAATCATACATTTGATGAAGTAACATCTAAAGTTACAAAAAAACGATACTTTAATTCACTTAATAACAAAGCTGAAGAAACTGATATTAGGACGCTAAATAGATCTTTTAAAGAATCTGGCTTTACCTGAGACTTTGATATGTTGTAATTTGAATTATCGCATTGTTGATACTTTGACTGAGTTTAGATCAGTCTTAGTTGATA